AGCTGGACAGGGCCGTAGAAGGTCCTTAACCCATCAGCAGGACCGGTATCTGCTCCTTTGTGCAAGGAGGAACAGGATGAGCACTGCCAGAGCCCTACAAAGTGACCTCCAGCAGGCCACTGGTGTGAATGTCTCTGACCAAACAATCAGAAACAGACTTCATGAGGGTGGCCTGAGGGTCCGACGTCCTCTAGTGGGCCCTGTGCTCACTGCCCTGCACCATAGAGCTCGACTGGCATTGCCATTGAACACCAGAATTGTCAGGTCTGCCACTGGTGCACCCTGTGCTTTTCACAGATGAGAGCAGGTTCACCCTGAGCACACGTGACCGACATGAAAGGGTCTGGAGAAGCCGTGGAGAATGTTATGCTGCCTGTAACATCGTTCAGCATGACTGTTTTGGTGGTGGGTCAGTGATGGTCTGGGGAGCCATATCCATGGAGGGACACACAGACCTCTACAGGCTAGACAATGGCACCCCGACTGCTATTCGGTATCGGGATGAAATCCTTGGACCCATTGTCAGACCCTACGCTGGTGCAGTGGGTCCTGGGTTCCTCCTGGTGCACAACAATGCCCTGCCTCATGTGATGAGAGTATGCAGGCAGTTCCTGGAGGATGAAGGAATTGATGCCATTGAATGGCCCCCAATGGTTTCCTCACCTAAATCCAATAGAACACCTCTGGGATGTCATGTTTCGGTCCATCCGACGACACCAGGTTGCAACTCAGACTGTGCAGGAGCTCAGTGATGCCCTCGTCGAGATCTGGGAGGAAATACCCCAGGACACCATCCATTGTCTCATTAGGAGCATGCTCCGATGTTGTCAGGCATGTATACAAACACATGGGGGCCATACAAACTACTGAGGACCATTCTGAGTTGCTGCAATGAAATTTCAGCAAAATGGACTTGCCTGCTGCATAATTTTTTCACTTTGATTTTCGGGGAGTCTTTGAATTCAGTCCTCTGTAGGTTGATAATTTTCATTTCCATAAAATGATGGGGCACCCTTACGTTCTTAACATAATACCCAGTCCATGTCAGTATAGAGATCCAACAAGAGACTTTTCCCCATTGAGATCTGATGGGTTTTCAAAGTGTTCCTTTAGTTTTTCTGAGCAGTGTAGAAAGGACTAGAGCAGTGGTCGGCAAGCCGCGGCTCTTTACAAGCTTAAATGCGGCTCTTCTGTGTGCCGGGCGCCCGCTCCCCTCCCTCCCCTCCCTCCTCTCGGACGGGCTTGTGCAGGGCGGCCGCCCCCTCCCCTCCCTCCTCTCGGACGGCCGCCCGCTCCCCTCCCTCCTCTCGGGCGCGGCCGCCCCAAAAAGTCAGGACTCTGCAGCTGTCAGGATGTAGGCGGGGCAGCCAGGATGTAGGCGGGGCAGCGTGACGAAACAAGACCAGAACGGCGCGGGAAGCACGGCGAGAGGAACGCGCGGAGCAAAGGTAAGTGAATTGACACAGGGGGGAAAAAAATGGGGGACTTACTATTTACTATCCTTACTAAATGGGGGGGGGACTTACTATATGGGGGACTTACTTATGGGGGGGGACTTACTTATTTACTATTTGAATTACTATATGGGGGATGAATTACTATATGGGGGATGAATTACTCTATGGGGGATGAATTACTCTATGGGGGATGAATTACTATGGGGGATGAATTACTATGGGGGATGAATTACTATATGGGTGATGAATTACTCTATGGGGGATGAATTACTATATGGGGGATGAATTACTCTATGGGGGATGAATTACTATATGGGAGATGTATTTTCAGTTTTAAAAATGTGGCTCTCAAAATAAATTTCAATCGTGGTTTTGGCGAGATTTGGCACAGTTGAAAAAAAAGGTTGCCCACCACTGGACTAGAGGATAGGCCTGGAAAAAAATGGAAACATTGGGAAAAAAATGTTTTTTTTCACAAAGCCATTTTTTTTTTTTTTTTTACAGAAAACTGAAAAAAGGAGTGTGCAGTATGTTCTTTTACAATAATACTATGACAAAAAAACAGACATGCCTGCAAGGTAAAGGCATAATGTGTTAGTATGCATCACATTATGAAAGACTCACCCTGAAATGAAGCCCTCCAGTGGAGCGTTGACACCGCTGAAGAAGCTTCTATTCTCACCTGGTCTTCCTTCCAGGTTCGCAGGCTGCTTGAATGGCTGAGCCACGATGATGTCACTCCAGAGCATACGTGAGCGTGTCACAGCCACGGCACAGAACTTTGAAGGAACGGCACGAGTATGTCGTTCCTTCAGAGTGCATGCGCTGGTGAAGTCACCAGCTGCTGCTCTCTAGAGTATTTCCTAAATGGTGCACGTTTAGGAGACATTCATTTAACCTACAGGTATGTTTTATTATAAGGTTAAATATAGGCTAAAATAAAAATACAACATTTACTACCACTTTAAAGCTATATAGCATGAAGACCTTAATGAGGGTTATCTGAGACTTTATGTAAAGTCTTAAATTATTGCAAGTTCTCTCAGCTGAAGACAAGTGAATCCTGGAATACAATTCAAGTAACACTTTACATTTCTGTGCAGTTCCCAGACAAAAGAAATATGCATTTCTGCTACTAGGGGGCACTGCAGGGGAAAGACTCCAGTTTAGTTTGCTTGTGGGCTCCATCTTGCTCTATGATTGTTAGGATAATTGACAGATAAGAGGGTAAATTTGGCTGACAAATTAGTTTATCATTATACACTTTAAATGATTCCTATTAATGTTCTCCACCATCATAGCATGATGTTTACCTATAGTCTGCTCAGTCATTTGTTTTTTTTTTTTTTTTTTTCCTCCTCTCAGTAAAATGGCGAGACCAACATCTAGAGCAGCAATGGGCAAACTACGGCCCGGCGGACCTTTTAATCCGGCCCGCGGAGCGTGATACTGTCAGGATGGCTGTCAGGATGTGTGTAGGCGGGGCAGCGTGACGAACGTGAGGGGAGCTAGGCTCCTCTCACAGTCCACCCTGAAGACCGGAACGGCGCGGGAACACGGCGAGAGGAACGCGCGGAGCAAAGGTGAGTTGACACAGGGGGGACAGGGGGGACTTAATATGGGGGATGAATTAATATGCGGAATGAATTACTATAGGGGGGATGAATTACTATATGGGGGGTGAATTACTATGGGGGATGAATTACTATATGGGGGGTGAATTACTATATGGGGGGTGAATTACTATATGGGGGATGAATTACTATATGGAGGATTAATTACTCTACGGGGGATGAATTACTCTATGGAGGATTAATTACTCTATGGGGGATGAATTACTCTATGGGGGATGAATTACTATATGGGGGATGAATTACTATATGGGGGATGAATTACTATACTTACTATGGATGACACATACACATCATTCATCTACTCTTGGTCCGGCCCCCGGGTCCAATATATAAACCCATTGCGGCCCTCAAGTCAAAAAGTTTGCCCACCCCTGGTCTAGAGTTTGGAAACATTTCCAATTTGCAAATATTGTGAGAAGAAATATTCTTTTTCAAATGCTACAAGGATGACAAAAACACATACCGGCATGCCAGAGGTACCCTAAAGACATAGAAAAAAAAAAAACCACTTTATAGAATTAGATGAGGAGGATCATAATGAAAGTGTGAGTAGCTTTTCTCTCCAGAGTTCTCATTCCAGAAACACTTGCTGCTATTGGTGCTAAGGGGTAATCTGATTTTTTTTTTTTTTTTTTTATGCTGATAGTTTGTTTTTTTGTTGTTGCTTTTGAGGGAAAAGGGGAGGTTACCTGTTCTCGTGTGTATTATTGTATGTACTGTATATGTCCTTGTTATTCCATTTGTGATTAAAAAATACAATTTTAAAAAGCAAGTTTCGCTTATTTACTGAATAAGCTATACTTTTATATACACTGTCTTTAACCATCTATGTGCAAAATTACTTTCAATTTGCAAAACTATTCCACACAGAATTTTTTTCAATTTTTCCAGAAACTTCCATTTTTTTCTGGGGTTTTGAATTGAGACATTAATTTAACCTGGAGTTCATCTTCAAGCATGTCCGCACTGTTAGTCACCGGTCACACCACTGCGAATTAAAATCATGTGAGCAGGGAGGGGAGCTGCTGGAGTTAACTTTTCACATTAACAAGCTGGTGATTGGTTGCTAGGACCCCCCCCCCCCCGTCCACCACTAAAGTGGAAATTTAGTCAGAAAATCAAGTTGTGCTAGATCATTTCATGCTGGCCCCTTTTGCAGGTATAGCTATGTAAAACATATAAAAAATAAGTGCCTATATGGTTTAAAATCCAGTGATATACTGGATCATCCTGTTCTGCACATGCTCAGTTGCTCTCTACTTTTTTTAGGCACTCTGCCAAATTTTTAATGAGTCGATCTGACAACCTAAAGATTTACTGCTGCTCAGAGGCACTGGGCTTCAGCAAAATGGCAGCCTCCAGCAAGAAGAAACAGGGACAATGCTAGAGGCGATTTACAGTACACACTAATTCTTGTAGTATAAGTATTAATGTGGAATGTATGTTCTGTGCTAAACAACATTTTTTTTTATCAACTTACTACATTTAAAGTTGTGGTTTAAGTGGATGAAGCCAACAACCTAGTCAAAATATTTACTGCAAATGTTATTTGTGTGTAAAGGCTTCATTCACATCTAGTGAAACAGGAGCGTTGCGATTTTTGAAGCGACACCATTCACTTACATTTCCTGCCCTCTGATCCAAAAACACCCCAAAGTAGCTCCTGTTCCCGACTTTGGCATGTTTTTGTACAGCACGATTTAACACATTTTTCATGCAACAAAATGCCCGTTTGGTTAGCGTGCTTGGGCTGCCACTGAAAAAGAATGGAACCCAAAGGCACATTGCGCCATTTTACTGTGTTTTGGAAACATGGGCAGAATTGTGCGATCCTTCTCAAGATATCAATACGCTTCTGTAAACAGGGCCTTATTTATCGATATGACTCCCAGGGAAGATCTGAGAAGTAATGGCTCGTACCAAGCAGACCGCTTGTAAATCCACCGGAGGGAAAGCTCCCTGCAAAGCGCCCCAAGAGCGCACCGGCCACCGGCGGAGTGAAGAAGCCTCACCGCTACAGGCCCGGCACCATGGCTCTCCGAGAGATCCGACGCCACCAGAAATTCACCGAGCTGCTCATCCGCAAGCTGCCCTTCTAGCGCCTCATCCGAGAGATCACCCAGGACTTCAAGACCGACCTGCGCTTCCAGAGCTCCGCCGTCATGGCTCTGCAGGAGGCCGCAGAGGCTTATCTCGTCAGACTCCTAGAGGACACCAACCTCTGTGCCATCCACGCCAAGAGGGTCACCATCATGCCCAAAGACATCCAGCTGGCATGCCGCATCCACGGAGACCCCACAACAGCCATTCCACACAACCAACGGATAAAATTGAAAACATTAACACTAACAAAGTCATTTCTAACTCTGCCCCAAATTACATCACCAATCTGGTCTCCAAATATCACCCAAACCGTCCTCTCCGCTCCTCGCACGACCTCCTGCTCTCTAGCTCCCTTGTCTCCTCTTCCCATGCTCATCTCCAGGACTTCTCAAGAGCTTCCCCCATCCTCTGGAACTCTCTACCCCAATTTATCAGACTGTCGCCTACTCTGCTCACTTTTAGGCGATCTCTGAAAACCTCTCTTCAGGGAAGCCTATCCTGCCCTCAGCTAATAATGGAATCTTCTACTCTTCCAACCAGTCCATCCCCCCAGTTACTACCTTTTGTACCACTAGCCCCTCCCTCTTAGATTGTAAGCTCCAAGGATCAGGGGCCCTCCTATCCCTCTTTGTATTGAACTGTATTGTTGCTGTATTGTCTCCCATTATATTGTAAAGCGCTGAGCAAACTGTTGGCGCTATATAAATCCTGTATAATAATAATAATAAGACACAGGGATTTAGGTGGAGTTTCAATGTGCAACGACTAAGACGACGAAGATCACACAACTCATCACTTTATTTAACAATCACTTCATAAATAACACATCCCAGAACGAGAAGGTGCAGGGATGGGGAGGAGGAGATGTCTCCGCTGGTCCCAGTGTATCACATATATATACATATAGATCAAGTCAAGGTTTCATTGCTCAGGTAACTTGGTATTGTATAGAGTATCACTCAAGCTGGAGGCCTTCACATGGAGTCTTCAGAACGGATGGACTCCCTCCCGATGTCACCCCATAAAGACAATTAAGTACAGTCTCTACAATGTGACTGGCAGGATGTAGAGGTTTCAGGTAAGATATAGAACTAAAACTTGTCAATAGCATGAAGACAGGATTCTCGGTGCTGGTCAGCAGGGGCTTCAGATTGCATTTCAATGAATTGCTCCAAGACATTTGGAAGATATAGGCAGAAGGATGTCAGTGAAGCTGAAGTTTTGTTTTTTTTTTCTTTCTTTTTTCTTTCTTTTAAATGGCCAAGTCCACCCTGTACTGATGGGTTGAGTCACCCATTGGCTTCTGCAACAGTGGATCCTTCTGAATTCTCAGCCTCCGCTGCTATAAAGATCAGCATAGAATTCTCACTCGCATTGAATGCATAGTGGCTACAGCACATGAGCGAGGCTAAAAACTCAGCAGATCTCATCATAAGTAGCTGGTGTGTGATTCAGTCCACCAGTACCAACCCAAACGGAAATGTAAAATTTTTGGGTGGACTTGCCCTTTAACTATACACATTGAGGGTGGTGTAATAAGTACACGTCTGTGCTTTGTGGTAACAGTCCTTAGAGTGGGCCGATGAATGGTCTTGGGGTTACAGAGGGGAGACACAACCGCAACAGCGGGCCGGAATGCTCAGCGAACCATGTACTCCTTCCTCTTGTTCAGCCGCACCTGGCAGAAGGACCAGCCGCCCACCACCACGTAGATGGCTGCAGCGATGAAGCAGTTATAAGAGACTTGCTCGTACAGGGCGTACATCCTCTTGGGAGGGGTCTGGCTATAAGGGAGAAGCAAGAATGCAGGTTAATTATAACTGTACAAAAAGGTTTCTTTTGTCATTGCTCAAAAATGGAGAGATTTTATACTTACTCATCAAAGAGATCGCTTTCACTGAATGGGACGTCCTCAATGAGAACGGGCTGAGTGGATGTTAAAGAAAATTCCCAACAGGACCTGGAATAGAAAAGTATTTTCATACGTCAATAACGGCAAAACCTAACAAATCCAAAGGATTCAGAAAGGATACAAGACAGGGTTCGACAGATCCCAGGTCACCACAACATCCAGAAACCGCATTCTGGTACCTGCGCCCCCAACAGTCCACACTGCCCCATACTAGCCCCCCCCGCATCCCTGGCCGGCCCCCTCTCCCCTGCCTCACAGAGTGGAGTCCAGCCCAGTGTCCACCTCCCAATCTCTCTTCCAGTCCAGGGGGAACCCCCCGATGCACACTTCTCATGGGCAAAGACCCCACTGCGCAAAGCGCGACAAGAGCCAGCCCCCCCCCACCACAAAGATACCTCCCCCCAGAGAGCCCATAGAGCAGAGGACGTGCCCCTACACCAACCGCCCCGTCCACACCACTCATGCGGCCATGGACAAGTGCTCGGATTGTAGCTGGGTGCAGCGCTAAATGCTGGAGCCCATCAAAATGCGGCGCTGGTGGCAACCACCACATGTGGCTTCCCCCTGGAGGAGCATCGTGTGAAGACCAGGGGCACTGGGGCCACCAAGTCCCGCCACCTACGCGACAGCCCCACCTCCCGCACGGCACCAACCCCCCGAACAACAATCAGGAGGACATGACACAGCGGACACAGGCCGAGCTACCCCTCCTGGCACCGTTGCTGGACAGGTGAGAGCTGGGGGGGGGGGCCTAGTGCTTCCCAAGGTGTGTGAGACAATGCCCTCCACTTGTCCTGCTGGCCCCCTCCCGTGACACTTTCCCCTCCTTTTCCCCTGCTAGCCCCCTCCCGTGACACTTTCCCGCTGCCCCCCTCCCGTGACACTTTCCCCTCCTTTCCCCCTGCCCCCCTCCCGTGACACTTTCCCGCTGCCCCCCTCCTGTGACACTTTCCCCTCCTTTCCCCCTGCCCCCCTCCCGTGACACTTTCCCCTCCTTTCCCCCTGCCCCCCTCCCGTGACACTTTCCCCTCCTTTCCCCCTGCCCCCCTCCCGTGACACTTTCCCCTCCTTTCCCCCTGCCCCCCTCCCGTGAACTTTCCCGCTGCCCCCCTCCCGTGACACTTTCCCCCACTTTCTTGCTGCCCCGCCACCTGGCTCCTAGATTCAAAGCAATTTTGTCAAGCCCTGCAGTAAGCTGTAACCAATTAAAGGCCTACAAAGCAGGGTGGATAAAAATAAATGATTTTTTTTAAAAAATCAAAAAAAAAAAAAAAACAATTTTTTTTATTTAAATCGGATTTTTTTGAATAAAATGCTTTTTGAGGAAAATATATTACCATCCAAAGGTTATTCCATCATGAAATAAAGATTAGTTTTTTAATTATGTAGAATGAGGCTGTATAGGTTTAATTTTTTTGGTAAATAAATCCATGAATCCATTCACACTGTCATGCTCTTCCAGAGGTTTTTGTAAGATTATTGGGCAGTTTCTCTGCCTACAAGATATTATCACAGATGATTGGTTTACTTTTGCAGTTCTCAAAACTGAATTTGACTCAGCGGAGATCACAGGCCTCTTCTTCACAGCAAAAATGTTATAACATGAACAGAGTTAAGAAAAAGACCTTCATCCTAACTTCTACAAACCTATGAATACAGAATCAACCCCTTCACTGCTAAATTTCAAGAAGTTCAGGGAATAGAATAGAAAGAATATTTTTCTGATTGTTTGGAGTGGAATAGATCTGCACAAGAAGAAAGTGAAACTAAGTGGAGGAGGAAGGGGCTGACAGTCTAAGTTTCTTAAAATATATATATTTTGTTTAGCCAAATTAGTTTACAAACATGGATGTTTAACCACTTCCTGTCCGGACACTTATAACCCCTTCCTATCCAGGGCAAGTTTCAGCTTTCAGCGCTATCACACTTTGAATGACAATTGCGCGGTCATGCAACACTGTACCCATATGAATTTTTTACCATTTTTTTGAGACAGATAAAGCTTTATTTTGGTGGTATTTATTCACCACTGGGATTTTTATTTTTTTTTACTATGTAAATGAAAAAGTCCAATAATTTTGAAAAAAAAAAGTGTTTTTTTTTAAATAAAATTTTGCAAATAAATATTTCATCATAAATCTTGGCCAAAATGTATTCGGTTATTTTGTTAGTAATAACCAAAAAAAATTATAATTTTTAAACATTTTTTTTTAATTTTTATATTATTTTTTATTTTTATTTTTTTTTTACATACTGTCACCCTAGCAGTACAGTGTCACCATGGTGACACTGTACTACTTGTGGGGGGTGATGAAGATTTATTTTTTTTTTTTTTTTACACGGATTGCTTTTACACCCATATAGGATGTAAAAGCAATCATTCCTCCTTCTCTCTGTCTGCATTTTTGCAGTCATTGAGAAGTACTGAGTGAGCTGTGATTGGTCACAGCTTGTCACATGGTACAAGGCTGTTGTGAATAGCCTTGTACCATGTGACCTCTGTGATCATTCACAGATTTCACACGTAGTAAGCAATGATGTCACAAGTGATTGTGCCAATCAGTGATCACATGATCGGGACCTCGTACAGAGGTCACATCCGACCATCGGTGTTTCACTGTGTCCGGAGGACACAGCGGGCACCGGATCGCGGTGCTGCGCGCTCCCAGGGAGCGCGCACAGCTAGAAAAGGCGGATGCCGTTTATGAACGGCAACCCGCCCCTGGACTGCCACCGCCCTGCCGTTTATAAACAGCAGGCGGACGGCAAGTGGTTAAGCAAATCACATATGCTGGAATGTTATTGTTTCAGATGAATAAATCTATTTAAATTGTTATTATTAAGGTGATGATTATTTTTCTCCTTCCTAAATACAACAGAAAAGTTGTCTAAATATGAATGATTAACCTATTAAACTGGGGATAAAAAAACTAATATGAAAAGTTGTTGATTTAAAAATCTTCATCTACTTGCATATTAAAGTTATACCAGGAAGAATTAGTCTTTATGTAGAAAACTAGGATTTACATCAAGCCTTACTGACTAGTGATTTAAATCGTGATTTAAATCAGTTTGATTTAAATCAAATCCACCCTGCTACAAAGTGCCTTGGCCATATAAGCCCAGGGCTCCCTTCCCCCTGCTGCGCCCAATGGAACTGCCCAGACCTGGCCATCAGTTTAAAGTCCCACTCCGGGCAAAAACTTCACCTCACTGCAAACACACCCCCGGGGTGCATTGCAGTGTGAATAGAAAACAATTGTGTGTGTGCGCCCCAACAGTGACCTGTGTTCTTCCAGCGCAGTAAAACGCAGGTCAACGCACTATATGTACACAGGGCTCATTCACTTGGCTGTGAAAAATGTGGCTTTTTTTTTTTTAACCAGTTTTTTCTTTTTTTCTTTTTAATAAATACATGTGATTGCGTTTACATGCATACAGTGCAAAGCTGCCTGCGTCCTAGCAACAGGACGATAGGTGGCTTTCTTCAGAAGCTGCCAGCATCCTAGAAACACAAGGTCAATTACATTGTATACATGTAAACATTAAATAGCCCCTCTCTCTCTCTCTGTCCCTTTTCTCGAGTGTAGGGTCATGCTTGCATTGCCTGAGAGCGGGCAGCAGAATGACAAATGGGGGAGCAGGGAAATACGTTCTCCTCTATGCCGTTCATGCAGAGTTAGAGTCTGTCATTTTTTTTCTCTCCTTGTGGGGGAGATTTGCCTTCACTACCTATTAAGACAGAAAGTGATGGGAAATCTCTCCAATGGAGACAAAAAAAAAAAAGTTAGGATTTTCTTTCAGTCTCTGTGAGAACAGTAAAAAGGCCGAATGGGGTGCCTAATCCCTAACAGGGGTTCTAATCCATCTCTACTATGTCAAAAAAAAAAAAAAAAAAAAAAGTTTGTCTTTAGTTAGGTTTACTTTTTAATTAGTTTTGCCCAAAGAACGTGGAATTAAACATTTCTCTCAGGGTTTTGTTTTTGTCTGTTATCCCCTTGGGGAGATTTACCTTCACTTCCTGTACCGATGACACCTATACAAGAAATGAGAGAGTATAGTTGTGACCGGAAGGCATGAAAACATTGTCAGAGGTTCCAACCCTTCCTACTCCTGATCACAACGCAAAAAATGGTTTTATGAAAACAGGTATGGAGGGGAAATCTTCCAATGGGGACACTGGTTCTGGTGACAACAAGGGATTCCCTCTCACATCCTGTTTCGGTTGTTGACAGATGACCTGAACCCTCCCTTACTCTATCCAAAAATGGGAAGAAAAAACAATTTTGCCTGCAGTTCTACTTTAAAGTGGCTCTAAAGGCTCAAGGTTTTGTTACCTTCCGGCATTCTATGCATGAAGGTAAAAAAAACCTTTTCTGTGCAGCTTTCCCCTCAGCCCTCCCTAAGCGATGTGTGCTGGAGTCTGGGCTATCCTGGGATTCTCTCTTCTCACTGGCTGAGACAAAAGTGGGAGCCATTGTCAACCAAAGCCAGTAACCCAATGAGGAGAGGGCGTGGGGCTGAGCCACGGCTCCGTATGTGAATGGACACATGGAGCAGCGGGTGCCCCCATAGCAAGCTGCTTGTTGTGGGGGCACACGACAGGAGCCAGGAGAGCCTGCAGGGGACCTGAAAAGAGGAGGATCTGGGCTGCTCTGTGCAAAACCACTACACAGAGCAGGCAAGTATGATGTGTTTGTTATTTTTCCATTAAAAAAAAAAAACAAGCCTTCAGAATCGATTTAAGTGCATACGTGTTGTTCGAGGCCAGTAATTCAAAGTACAGGGGGCAAGGTGGTTAGTATGACAGCTAGACAACCAGAATTTTCATAAGAAGAGATCAGTATTGGCAGTCTTGATGTTCTCTTTTGATAGCTTCTCTAACTACAGTAATGACCTGGCTGTGCTATCTGGCAGGGATGTTTGGATCATAAATACAAATGGAGAAACAAAAAAAAAAGGAGGGCGCACCGACCTAGTGCATTATCGTTTTAAAAATATATATTGAAGGAACAAAGTAAGTATCATATTGTACTCTCCTTCCCATG